TCATTCTTCCCTACATTTGTATACTTTATTTATTTATTTATTTTTATTTTTTTATAAATCATAATGAAAAATATATGTTTTCACCTTATATAATACTATTGGTTGTTATGAGTGTTTTTTTCATGGATATTTTAAATTTAAATTTATATGTATATTATTCAATGTATTTATAAGTAATATTGATACATGTCGCATTGGCACAATGATACATATCACATTAGCACACTGATACACGACAATGTCATAGTGCTACAAGTCAATATCACACTGCATACATTGACATGACACAGAGCACAATGCACATCATGAATAACTAAATCTAATGTAATATGATTACATAGTATCACAAACAAACAAAATAGGACGAATTGTGTTTGTGGATGGAATTAGAGTTGTGAGGAGGTGGTGATGACAGGTAAGGTCTGTTATGAAAATGCAATTGTATATGGCCTCTTCGATTTTTTTTGGCAAATGATCGAACACTTGGTGTGCATGTAGTACCAAGCACCAGAAGCAGAAAGGTAGTTGAAGGGAAAAAAAAGTAGATAAAATAAAAATGATGGAAGAAATAACGTTTTTCTTGAGTTATCAACTTCTTTTTTAAAAATTTCAACAATCTCAAACGTCGTTCTTCACCAAAACGTAAGTCTTCTTCTTCAGCAATAAAGTTCGGTGTAATCGTCACCGTCTGTTACAGAGATTTTCATTTATTCACAGTGAACCCATCAAAAAATTCATCACTTATTCACAATGATTTTCACTTCTTCTTCAGCAATCAATAAAACATTTTGAAAAGAATAGAAGTTTTAGGGAAGTTTTCTCATCAATCTTTGAGGAACAGAGGTTTTTCGGCGATGTTGAAGGAGTTTATGGGAATCAGTTGATATCCCTGATGTTTTGACTGTGTAGGCAAATATTTAGGAATCTGTTCCCTTCTACATAAATGATAGTTTAGACATTTGTTATATATTGTGTACTTTTTGATTGATATTTTTAAATGTTATATTTTTTGTCCTATATTTTCAAAAAAAAGATACCGGCCCTGAAATCCTTATAACTATAACTTATATGCCAATATTTTCTCATACTCGTTGCAATGCATGGATCCAACCTACATGCCAAAGGACACTAGCAGGTTGTAAATTTATTGAATAATTGGGTGTTTTGATTATTTACGCACTTGCAATAATATTTTTGTTTTGGGTGCATGAAGCAGCGGATTGCACTTCTACCATAATTCGTTACCAATGAGGTGATTAAAAATGTTCATTTACATCTCGGAGCCGTTGGCATTATCATTTGCATGACCATTCACTAATACAAAATATTATATTAAAACCCTATTCTATGATTGGGCTACTAGTGATGGTGTCCTCTTAGACTTTATAATTTTGCTTTATGCAGGGATCTATATTTCAAGTACACAATAAGTGTATGACCAGTCGTCGTCGACAAATTAGGTCAAATGGCGGACTTAAATCATATTTACTCAAATGACTTGGGTATTAGAAATATAATGAAATATAGATTCTCAAATGTTTTCAGCCATTGTCATGCCTTTATTTGCTATCACAAATATCGTTTACACATGAAATTATATGCTTAAAAAATTCGTATAATTTATTTCAGGCACTATGAAATAAGTGGTTTGATTTGATACCACCTGAAAAAAGGTATATATTTTGTTATTTGTTTTTCGGGTTAATCATGATCAGGTTTGTCTTGAAAGATCTCGGGAATGTCGTTTGAAAATTTGAGATTCTATTATTAGAGAAATTAAATTTTGAAATTGAGATTGTATTGTCCAAGAAATTAAATATTTTGAATCAGACAAATAGTTCGTGTTTTGGAAACTTGAAATTTTTCATTCTTGAGTTTCGTATGTTGTTGAGAGAACTAATATTAAGATTTTGCTATATATGACAATTTAGACAAACACGAGGCTATTGGAATTTCTCTTTAGAAAATTTGATGTTCTTATAGTCATGGGAGTTTCTGGAATTCAGATGCTCGATAAAATATTGAGAATTTCCTTAAGAACATGTGATTTTTAAAAAATCATGACTCTTACATGAAAATGTGATTTTATGTGAAGATAATATCGATTGCTGCAAAATACTTTATCGAGAATTTATGAAATAAATTCATGACTATCACGTGGTAGTTTTCTTTGATGAAAAAACGAGTTTTCTTTACACGTGAGTTTTTTAAAGCATTTGAGTCATTGTGAGATGAAGAAAAATGATTGCTTTATGGTTGTTGATATGTTGTGCACACTTATTATTTGAAAATACCACATGTAGTGAATAACACTGATATTATTGGTGTAGTGCTAAAGATCGGAGTTTTGTATTGACATATTATTATGTGAAATTGTTAAAGCTCTAGCCAAAGGCAAAGGTCTGATGTACATCAAGGGAGATGAGACTTAAGCACAAATATGCGTTAAGTTGCCTATGAGGATACCCTACCTAAGGACTGGAGATCCCAAGAATTGGGTTAAGGACACAAACGAATTATAGAGCGGCTTGTTATGGGACATGCACTATTTAAGTCTTAATGACTTATTATCCATCCCTATGTTGTAAGTGCATATGATCTTATGACGAGTGTGGAGGTTGAGATAGATTCTAATCTCTAAAAGAGTTCTATAGCCCTTATGGGTGAGATGTTTTAGTCACAAGAGCATTCTTGATAGACTCACCTATTTGAGTGTAGAAGACTAGTCGCTTCCTATGAGAATTGGGGATAATTCTCTATAGCACTCAAGAAACTAGGATAAAGCGTAAGGTCGAAATGTGTTGGCTTTCGAAACTTGGTTTAGAACACCTTGAATGTTATGTGTGTGATATGGTTCTGCGTGCCCTCAAATAGTCATCATTTAAAGGTTAAGTCTACTTTGACTCTAGTACAGGAACTTTGAAACACTAAGGTGATGTTTGATAAAACTGAAAGCTAAACACTGAAAAATTGAATGCTAAATTTTAAGTGCTGAATGCTTTTAATTCGCAGACTATTTGGTATCAACTGAAATTTAAGTATTGAATTTATTAAACTGTTTGACAAATATAAGAAGGTAAAGTCTGAAAATTATTATTTTAATTTTGCCCTTCTCTTTAATTATCTCTTCACAACTGCCTTATTCCTATCACCACCATCACAATGGTAGTGGTAGTGGTAGTGGTGGCAACGACGGTGGTGGTGGTGGTGGCAATAACAATGGTGATGGTTATGGTAGCAATGGCACAATAGTAGTGGTGGCGACAACAATGGTGATGTTGGTGGTGGTGGCGGCGACGGCGGCGACACAGTGGTAGTGGCAATAGTGGTGGTGTTGATGGTGACGATGACAGTGATAGTGGTGATTGTCGTTGCACAATGGTGGTGGTAGCGGTGATATAATAATAGTAGGGGTGATGGCGACACAATGGTAGTAATGATGGTGGTGGAGGTGATGGCAGCAATGGTGGTGGTGGTGGTGACAGTGACACAATAGTAGTGGTGGCGATAGCGATCGTGGTAGTAACGGTGGCACAATAGTGGTGGTGGTAGTGATGGTGACAGTGGTGGTGGCAGTGGTACAATGGTGGTGGTGGCAATAGCTATGACACAATGGTGGTAAAGGTATATTTGTCTATTATAAAATTGATAAAATCCTTACTGACTAACATTTTCAGCATTAAGTGATAAGTAGATGATTTATTACTTAAAATATTAAATAGTATGAGTTTTATGTTATCAAACGAGTTTAATTTATTAAGTACTTAAAGTATTCAGTTTTAGACCTTACGTTGTGTTATCAAACAGCCCCTACGTAAAAGTTTAGAGGCATTGCCACATTTACAATGAGTGATATTCTATCTTTGCACAAATATATGTTACTGTTGTTTTTATTAAAATAAGTGGGGGATTGTTGGAGTATTTTAATAAAAATAAAGGAGTCTTTATTATTTATCTAATTTATATTGTAATAATTTCACCTTTATTTGTATCTTCATTTTGATTTGATTATACAAGTTTATTTATATCTTTATAAGTCACATGAGTTGCCAGTTTAACCATTAGTATCTATATAATGAGAATTATAATGGTGAAATTTAGTAGTCCATAAGTTATATGTTATATTCGTTGTGAGCATTATTGTGGTGAGCTTTATATTGGATTTGGTCAATAAATTATAAAGACCAAAATAATTGAATTTTATGATATAAACTAATTTGTCAATTATTTTGGACAATCAATTATATATTCCATACACCTATATTCTATTGTATGGGTGACAAATAATGAAGTATATATATATCTTCTTCTTAAAGAAGGAAATGGCTACTTTTCATAGTGGGAATGAGTCTCAGAAAGACCAGAAAAATGGTCAGAATTTGATGTTCCTAGTTCAACATCTAGTGATCAGAGGAAGTACTTGAAAACTCCAGCTGAGCACGTGGGCACGAGCGTAGCTCCTGAGCTCTACAGCTTGATAAGGCGAACTCCAGCAAGGACCTTGGCTCCCTACTCGCTAGCACTCTACCTCAACAGTTTGGCTCGTCTTGATTAATTCAAATCAGTTGAAATATCCACGCTAGAAGGCGCCAACGGTGCAATCGCTTGACCTATAAAAAGGCCAATTTATGTATCATCCAAGTAATCAATTCCCAACTAAATACAACTTATTTCCATCATTCTTTCTAGCTTTACCATCGGAGTTCCTCTAGCCATTGACTTCTTTTGCCGGAAGACTGCCAGTAGTCAGGTCATCATTCCAGCCGTCCATCACAGTGAGCAGATTCTGGAATCAACAAGTTCATCCACCAATCCACAGTGAAACTTGCATTTGACAATCATAGTAGCCAGTAACATCTAGTTTTAGAACCACACTGACCAATTTATATAAGGGGCGACCTTTACTCGATAGAGATCTGATCCTGCAGGCTCTTTCCATGCAAGATTTTGAACCATCTCAATAAAGCAAAAGGCACTAAAAACAGTCATGAATGGTTCATGTGAAACTCTAAAAACACATATATAACTTTGATAAGCACAGCTGAGACAAGCAATTGCAAATAATGAATGATATATTACATCAAGTAATTTAGAAATGCTATTCATCCATCGTTTTCTCAAATCCATAACATAAAACAATGACGACCCCATATTCAACAACAGTTCCCACATCATTGAACTCCACGCACGCTATACATGAATGGTTCTACATATAGGCGAAAAGAGGAAGCATCTTATTTCAAGTACTACAAACCACAAACGCGGTTGTAGTTCCACAAACCACAAGATAAATGTAAGGCACTCTCACATTCTTCAGGTAGGTGTCACCTTAAGCATGGCACATGCAATCAGGAGCAGGGTAAGTGTATATAGACTGATCCGGTTTGCGTACCCTTAGCTGCCCTTGTCTGTTTTGGTGCCCTTCAACTACTGCCTGCTCAAACTCTGACCAATTCATGCTCTTATTTAGAAATAGCTGGCCTAATAATGCCATGTTAGGCCTTATTGTCTTCAAATTCTGGTACGTACGGTGGCCAACCTGTCCAAAACAAACTTTGGCATCAGAATTTTCCGAATTCAAACTCATTGTAACAAAACTGTCCATATTCTACGAGCGAGATTGAAACTCGCTCGTATACAAGCTAATATTGACATATAACTTAACCACCGCCAACCACTAACCCAACAGCAGAAATAATACTATTAATTTCCAGATTTTTTTTCCTTTTTAACATTCTGAGAAAACAAATTCCAGTTAATTTTCATAGATATTAACTTTAAGCTTCTTTCAGCTTGCACCTCAATTGGGCAAGTGTTTATGTCATCCTGTAATCCCCTTCACTGCAAGAAAAAGGGTACTAAAAAAGAAGAAACACCTAGATCCATTCCTGATTCCTGAACACATTAAATTCTTATTTCAAAGTTAGTTTGTCAATCAGTTCCAACATTCCCGCTGCTAATTAACTGCCAGTATCAATCTTTCACTTGTTACCAGAGCCAACCCTTGCATGGGACCATCAGTAGATAGATCCAGTATCAATCTGTCACCATACCACCTTAGAATTGATATTTAAGCTCAGAAATAAATGGGGACCATAGTGACTAGCATAACTGATAGCAATTCTATCTTTAAATTTCGCGTATAATGGAGGTTGTGCCTTTGAATATGCAGGCGTCCACTTCATGCAAATAACACAATAGTTTAGATCTATAGCCAACACCCTCCATTAAAAGAGACCCTGCCTTTTACCTATATAGAACTCTATATTACGAAGTACACTGCTGTCAGCCAAAACCCATCAAGTAGCCAGAAAGTGCTTACCATTGCATTGTGCATATTTCCTGGAGAAGCAGAAATAAAGATGTCGCTGTTCGTGCTGACATAATAATCAACTGCAGCTAACAAAGAAGCCTTTCCCTTTATCAAGGCCCTCTCCTCTGCAGAGGCAAGGCTCTTTTTGTTTTCCATTTGTGGAAATAGCTTTCTTAAGGTTGAGATCCTAGCTTCCCCACCATATACCTGGAATATTTTGGTCACAAACACTGTCAAACTTCAGAGAACACAAACAATAAGTTGCACATCTTCAAGAGAAACATATCTAGCCAACCCTAAGCAGTCAGGACAAGCCTTTCAAGAGAATTTCCATGTAGACCTTGTGGGAGGCAAGATACAGACGAGTACTGTTGTCAAAGCCCAAAGCTGCTAGCAGCAATCCAATTTCTTCTGGAGTCAGTGGACAGCGCCCTTGACTCCTCAGCTCCTCATCAGTGAACTGAGAGTTTAGGACCCTTCCCTGCCAAATCACTTGACGGTACTTAGCCAGAGCCAGTTTTTCTGCTTTACCCCCACCAAAATCACAGGCAGAATGGGCAGCCATATCCTGAAAATAAACAGGTTTAAAAAGAGAGCTTAGACAATTACTTTACAAACTAAACTCAGATGGTAAAAATAAAATGGAAGCAAACGTCATAAATCGCTGAGGTAGAGGTAAGCACTCTTGAACAAAATATAATTTGTAGAGTGAGCATAGTTGTCAAATCGCGTATCGTAAGGCGTATCGTTTTTCAAAAATAGTGTATCGTATCGTATTGCGTATTATATATAGTAAGATTAGCCCAATTTTAAATAATTATTAATAACATATATATATACCTTTGTAAAAAAATTATAGACTCATAATAACATAGTATTTCATTAATATATCACCAACTATTCAAGTTCCCAATATAATTCAATAATATCAAAATGCAAAAACCTCTAATTCAAACTTTTAACATCAACTACTTCAACAACCTTAATATTAATCAGGAATTTTGAATTCAATTGAGCAACATTTACAACAAACTTTATTTTTTTTTAAAACCATAACTACTGAAAACAGCGTTATTGTTTCACTTGCTAGTAATTTAAAAATAAGTCCCGGAGTGAAACGATATCATTTCAGTCACAAAAAACCAAAAAAAAAAATTAAAAAAAAAACAGAATCTTCATGTATCATACGTATCGGATGTATCGTATCATACGTATCGGATCATATATCATACAATACGGTACAAAAACGATATAGAGACACAATACGTATTACTTTTCAGGTGTATTGTGACGTATCGTACAATACTAATAACTATGGGAGTGCGTAAGTATCAAGATTCACTGAACCTAATAAGGGTGCTGATTTGATAAATACAATGATTACAATCCATTTTTCAAGCAGTAATGAAGAGCATGAAAATCTGTTCAAAAAGTTACCATGGACAGGAAGAACGAAACTGCAATGCACTGCCAAATGGAAATCCCACCCAAAGTGATAAACCTTTTTTCTTGTAGTTGGCAACAAGTAATAGAGCATGCAGTGTGCAAAACAATGTGCGTAGGGTACTAAGTAAAGCAGGCCATACCCAATTTTGGAAGTTAAAATTAACAAATCACATCAAGCAAATTATCATTATGAATGATGACAGAATTTCATCACTTCAATCTGTACATATGAAGGCAAAATTAGAATAGCATAAGTCAGTTTGATCTAAAGGATACACATAAAAGACGTGGCTTTACCTTATCAAACCGAAGATGTAGGACAACAAACTTCCCCTTTCCTTGTTTTTCTTTTGCATCAATAACCTCCCTAAGGTAATTGGTGTTGACTACTTCATTTTTCCTGGAAGGATACCGGAGGCGATTGACAAGAGCATCTCCAAGAGCTCTGATATGAGGAACGAAAACTAATGCTTGGAAGTTGACTTTACAACGTAGGCGTTGGACATCCATCGGCATGTTGTCAAAGGCCAATCGGTGAGAAAATGGTGAAATTGCAGCAATTCCGTAACTGGACCATTTTCAAAATATTGAAATCACAATCCAAGGGATAAAAAAGGTGAGATTTTGAATTTCAATTACACCACCTATGCAAAAGATAAGATGCATCACTAGAATGTTATGTTCCCCATGATTTCATCAGAAAAGCACAATTTACCCATCATACCTAAACTTTATTACTAAGGGCATCTCTTTTTATCTTTGCACCATTATAGTAAAGATTTTGCCTCAGCAACAGTTGTCTTCATGCTTTGGGGTAAAAGCTTGTGGCAAAAATACATTATAACAAATATTTATCACAGATAAGAATGCTTGTAAAAGAGAATTATGAACGCAATTGAGAGGAAGAAACAGTCAAGCTGACATTTTTTTAATTGTATGCTTGTTATTGAACAAACCCGCCTATGTAAATAACAATTCTCATGCATCATCGAAATCCAGATTCAAGATGACATGCAGTCAATAGAGAATACTAGGGTTCTTTACTAGGAAAATTCAAGTGCCTGATAAATGAGCACAAGTCTAACACATCATTTTCTCCAGTTGCTATATTTAAGCTCTCTCTACAATGATTAAATCCCGATGATTTAATCTTTGCAGTAATGGCATATTTTACAACAATGAGGCTAAAATAGATTTTCTACTCCAAGATTGCAAAGATTGTAAATTGAGCACTAAAGCAGGAAGGTGTCACCTTCTTCCATTTCGTATTTTAATTGAGTGATTATGCATTCACATCTATTTTATAAGGGGCAAAATCCAGTTTACCCCCTTGTGGTTTGGTGGTTGTGCACATCACCTCCTTGTGATGTATGTAGCTAACACCGTTAACGGCAATGGCAAAAAGACCACCTTGCCCTCCTTAAAATCTGAATAAACTTTGCAACCACATCTTCTCCAACCCCATTGCATCTTCACATACTGTTCAACTCTCCACTGAATCATTGGTCATTGGCCATCACCACTAAATCACATCATGGTTGAAAAAAACTAGTTTTTATTTTTCTGTGATAAAAATTAAAAAATATAAAACATGTTTGATAATTATTTTATATTTAAAAAATTATGAAAACAAAATTAAAAAACATGTTTGAGATTTTACCCAAAATCATCCGCCCAACACCACTTAATTCCACCACCAGTAACCACCTAAACCCACCACAAACCCACCCCTCAAACCCTTTGCAATCCACCCACCACCAACCACCCATACCGAAAACCCACCCCCACCAACAACAACCAAACACCACCGAAACCCCCACCCCCAACGCCACACCCGAAAAACCACCCAACACCACTTAATCCCACCACCAGCAACCACCTAACCCCACCACAAATCCACCCCCCAAACCCCTTGCAATCCACCCACCACCAACGACCCATACCGAAAACCCACCCCCACCAACAACAACCCAACACCACCGAAACTCATCCCTAACCCCCTGAAACCCACCCAACACCCCCTGAAAACCCACCCCAAACCCCTTACAATCCACCCACCACCAACCACCCATACCGAAAATCCACCCCCCCAACAACAACAACCCAACACCACCGAAACTCCCACCCCAAACGCCATACCTGAAACTCATCCCTAACCCCTGAAACCCACCCAACACCCCCCTGAAAACCCACCCCAAACCCCCGAAAACCGACTCCCAACAGTCCTGAAAACTCACTCCCAATAGCCCCTGAAACCCACCCCCCCAAACCCATGGAAAAACCCCCACAATTCCCACCGAAAATCACAAGAACAATTATGAGAGAGAGAGAGATGAGGAGACGAGAATTGGAGAGGCACAGAGACGGGAAAATGTAGAATGGAGATGAAAAATCTAATTTTTTTCTACCAGTAAAATGTAGAAGAAAATAAAAAAATGTCTTTTTGAAAGATTTCAAGGGTATATTTGGACTTTTAGATTGAGCTTTGATTTTAACTTAAATTTTTTACATCCATACTTGCAAATCTAGCGCATGTGTTACAATTTCTGTCACTTTTGACAGAAATAGTAACGGTCGCACTTTAATCCAAAAACACAAGGGGCTATGTGCCGATTTTTGAATTACAAGGAGGTGATGTGCACAACGACCAAACCACAAGGGGGTAAACTGGACAGGAATATGTACTTAAATAAATATACATGTTATCAGCGACAACAAGCATTTTAACCAATTGAAGATTTCAGAAGCAGGAATATGTGGCCTGGCATATGTAAATCTAGAAGACAATTCATGCCACGAAATAACTTCCAATAAAAACTTAAAAACAAAGAAGCATATTTTCTCTTAGCTACTCAACAACTTTGAGTTAGACGAGTGGCATGTGTGGAGAAATACAAGGTTCCACCATTATATTGTACCAAAAGTAAATATATTTTCAATGGTTTTGCAAGGTCTTGAATTTTGTAAACACTATAAACTGCCAGGAGAAGGAAACACATATCGCATGTCAAATATCATACGATATAGAGAAAAAAATTTAAAGACTTCCAGGGACATCACCTTCATAAAAATCAGGCGCACTCATCAACTATAGTTTCTTATCAAAGCCTATAATTATGCTCATTTGTGTTAATCAAAACAATGCATTTATCTCAGTTTGCAAACAAATTAGGTCATTTATAAAACGATTCATCTCGCAATTAGTGAGATCACAACTTGTAAAAATATAGTAAAACAACATCTCAAATATATAGTGTAGATGATGTCAGAAGAATATTTGTGTTCTAAAATTTCTGGGAAACAACTGTATATACTAACCTCTGCAGGACAGGCAAAACATTCTCTATATACCAGTTAACTGAAGCATGCACAGGTGCAGTTTTGATTCTGGTAGCTCGAATGGCTGTAGCATAGTACTCCCTAGTGCTCCAAGAGAAATCTTCCGGTAACTCTTTAACTATAGAAATTTCATCCTTCAACACATCGATAAAGTGATCCACATCAAAAATATCCGTGAATGAGCTGCATAAGAAAAGTTTTGAGAAGGCATGTGGGTGCATATGCAAATTAAGAACTAGTTCAAGTATAAGAGTTGCCAAACAGCATTGAATCTTGAATCTTGCCAAAATATAAAATAAAAAAGTAAGCAAAGATGTCAATAGGACCTTGAATCTTGCCAAACAGGATTTACTTCAAGATAGGGGATCACAAGAGTTGCATTCAGGATTTTAGCAACAGCAACTGCATCGCATATCTGTTGGAGTGAAAATTTGTACATGTGATTAGCAAAGCAGACAAGCAATTGTGAATTAGATCAACACGGGATCAACACGGGTATCGGTAACCATTGATTAACATATTCATATCATCTGTTACAATACACGCCAACTCCTTTTTTTCTTAAGTGGTACTTAAATATCTTTTCAATTGGACAAAGACTACTTACCCCCATTCTCTGCTGGTTTAACCCTCCATCAAGGAAGACTTGGATGTATCCCTGTGAACTTTTGGGTAATGCTGCTTGAAACAAAGGATGTATCCATGAGGAAAATATAAAATGCACTAATATAAAACCATACTGGTTCGGAATTCAAGCCTCATTACTTTGTGCAATTGTAGAAGAACCCTAGATAAAAAACCTATCTATCATTCCTATCAGCACTAACCGAAGGCAATGGTTGATTCAACACAGGGTTTCCATCCTTGGTTGGCCAAGGGCATCCATAGATCATATTGCTGTTCATTTGACTAAACATGAAAAGAACAAGTAAATAAAGAGATTTTGCTTAGAAACACTAATATATATGCGGCTCTATTAACTCTTACTCACAGTTTGGCTCTGTAAAGCACCCTTGAGTAGGCGTGCATGCCTATGTTTTGGAGCATTCCATTCCTACAAGAGCAAATCAGAACGCAAAATAGTACATGCAGTCCCACGAGATCAAAAACATTATTGATTCCAGCCTTCTTACAGGAAGTAATAGCCTAAGTACAAGCATGTGATGGGTTGCATGAATACACAAAATTGTCAGATGCACACTGGCTGGACTATGCAAATTGTCCTGTTAACAAGTCACACTATAGGTCTCTACCATCTGATGATTTCACTGGTTTATGTTTTCTCATTTCAAACACAGAAATCCATTTTAGAAGCCACATCAACAATGTAAATTTGTTGCCGTGGTCATTGTGCTTGCTATACACCAATGTACAGCAAGAACGAACAGCATTTTCAGTTGCATCCAATTTAGTAAGGCAGCGATTACCACAATATTATGCCAGAAAACCCCACCCCCAAGTCCTAACCAGGCTTTCATTTCAGGAAAAAAAAGGGGGAAAGGAGGTGAAGATACTAGTTTCATCACTGTAATCGTTGTAGAGGTTATACTGCTCACCCTCAAGAGTAACCATGTATAAACAACTACGCACGTCTTCTCCTAAGCACAAATTAGCATTTCAGTGATCCAACTAAATCCATAATAAGTCAGCTCTCCCAGATTGACTTACTTATGCCCAAAAATTAAACAGGTGTATTACAAAATATAACTCAACTAGATCCTAACCTTTGGAAACCAAAACCTACCATTTCATTTGTGTTTAACTGACAATCTAACACCAAAATAAAATTAAAGAGTTCCTTACTTGCCATTTCAACTGTTTACCTACTCGCTATTTCCAAAATGATACCCAATTTATTCCCTCCTTGCCCTTTCATTATCCTCTAAAATCTGAAAGTACACCGTTGATCTTCATTGTCTCTCAAGCCTAGAAACTTTAAAGCATCTCCATGGGAAATCAATTTCACCTTAAAATCACTCCCCAAAAAGTGGGTAAAAAAATTCTTCACTCACATCATAAAATTATCAACAACACAAACATGGCTTTAAGAAGCAAAATTTCTTCTCCAGCAAATATTTTCCCATTTGATCAAACAAAACCCAGAGAGCAAAAGAGGGTGAATAGAAGAAAGAAAGCAGGAAAAACAAAGTCCAGTTAAAAATTAACATGCATATACAATAAAAAAAAACTGAAATATAGAACAGGCATACCGAGAGTATGGAAGGTGAGGCATGACCCAGTGGAGTGAAAAGACTTGGAAACAATATAGGAAGAAGCAGAACACAGAGAGCAACCATAGCTCCTCCTCTGTGATTGTGTTGGTAAAGCTTCATACTGGTGGCAATGGAGGGTTGATAGCTCAGACCCGCGCTCCTAAACCGAACAAGAAGAAGACCCTTTTGCCCTGGAACCACAAGTAGTGTTCAGGGAGGAGAGAGAAAGAGACAAAGAAGATGGGGCACGATCATGATCATTATCATTATCAACCTCTCACAGTAAAAAGCATATCACATGGGCAACAGCTGCAATGAAGTGATTTATACATGTGTCCCTTTCAGAGGATAGCTTTTGCCAACGGATAGATATTTTCACCCGATTTTAAGATGATACGTGTCGAGATTTAATGATCCTGCGTGTCTCTGTCCTTTCACATACATGTTGGCTTTAGCTGAGCTGAGGTATGGTTGGCCGGTGCACTTTAGTAAGTGCGTACTTTAATGTGGCAGTGTAGTAACTAGTAAGCACCGACACTAGAGAGTGTGGCCGAGGGTGACGCAAGATGCGGTTCTTCTTCTTTTTGACTGTGACATTGGGACTGAGCTCCGGTTACTTGGATTTTATTCGTAAAATATGTTTCAATGAATCGATGTACAAAAACTTGGTGAAATACGATATGATACAAGTCTAATTAAATATAATATATATAAATTAAATTAAATTGTATAAGATTATAATATATATTGAACAAAATTTAATTTTGGCAATACTCGAATTTTGCATAATTTGAAAGTTTGACCAAATAACAAAGTATTACATGTGGTTAATGTATATCATATAAAGAATATTATTTGAATTTAAAATTTTGATTTAATTTGTTGACATAATGATGTGATTTTATAAAAATTATTAAATCAACACCAAATTATAATGTTTGATGAGATCTACAGTGAATCCAAATGTCACAATAAATTAGGTTAACAAATTATATCCTAATAATATTACTCTTTGAATAATGAGAACTTATTTTGTGAGTACCATAAGAATTTTATGGCACTACCCTACTTGAGAAAAGATCCCAACGAAAAGAACAAGATTAAACACCATCGCCTTCGTATAAAAAATAAAAGGGTTAATATCAAATTACACCTTAAAAAATTATTTGAATTTCAATTTGTACACTCAAAAATTAAAAATTTTAATTTTTACCTTTAAAAATAAAAATTTATATCAATATATACCTCAAACTAACAGTTGTCAATTTGTCATTTAAAACTAAATGAATAAATTTCACTTAGACTCTCTCATACTTGTCATTTAATTACCTAAAACCTCTCACATTTGAAATATTGCACCTATATCCCTTGAGAATCTAAATACGACTAAAAATGTTCCCCTAATTAGGTATTCAAATAATTATATTTAAGTGATGTATTGCATTGGATATAAAGAACATTATATAAATATCTGCATTATATTGGACATTTAAATGGTAAACTTGACTTTGAACTTTGGAGTATAACTGACCCACAAAATAAATGATAATATAAAATTATAAATTTTTATTAAGATTAAATCATATTTTTTAACGATTATATTAACAGACATCAACGACAAGGGTTATGTGTTACACGTGTACAAATGTCAAGAGGTGTAGAAGTAATATTCTAAATATGAGAGGATCCAAATGATTAAGTGACAAGCATGAGGAGATTTAAATGTAATTTATCCATTTAGTTTTAGACGATAAACTAACGACTATTAGTTTTAGGTGCACATTGATACAAATTTCTATTTTAGAGCGTGTAAATTGAGATTTTTTATATTTGAGGGCACAAATTAATATTCGAATAATCTTTCAAGATACAATTTGATATTACCAAAAAAAAAAACCCACCATCGCCAAGAGAGAATGTTCATTTGTAACCGACAATATCATATTATTATTGTTATAACAATTCAATAACAAAAAAAAAATCATTATGCATTTGTGATAGTTATCGCATTATATTCAATATCCATATATGATATGAGCAATATTATTAGAATCTAATTTACTGACCTAATTCATTATGACCTTTGAATTCATTATAAACTGTATCAAACATTAGAACTTGATGTTGATCAAATGATTCCTATAAAACCACATCATTCTGTCAACAAATTAGGTCCAAATAATATTACTCTAATCCAAAGTATCCTTCAAATTATAATTTATATTTGATTTTTTTTTTTGTGGTCTAGAAGAATTTATATTTGATTCATTCTCCATTTTTTAACAGCACCATATAAAGATTGTATCCGATCATCTTTATCTATTAGTTTATTAACATATCTAGATTGTTTTTAAATATATTTTCAATTCCTTTAATTAAATACTTCCATCTTACTCGAAAACCACAAACATTTTGTTTTTTATTTAGGATTGAACCATGTGAGTTTTATTTATTGTTGTCATTGGAATGCAGGGGCGGAGCCACCTTTGACAAGGGTGGGCACCCTAACTTTTGGAAAATTCCTTTATATAATAGTAGTTTAGGACCATTATATTGTTCATTAAACCCCCCCCCCCCCAACCAAAAAAAAAATTAAAACATTATATGGTGGTAGTAAACTTTTTTTTTTTAGTTAGTTAGTGGTCTATTGACTCTGTATATCCAATTTTTATTCTTGAATCAAGTAAAACGTATGCAAAATAGCATAGTGATCAGCAACGGCATTACATCTCTTCTATTTGATGAATTTTTATTGTATCAATTGGTGATTTTTTTTAGTAGTATTTTGCCCCCCAACCGGAAAACTTGATTCCGCCCCTTTTAAAATGAGAAATTAGATTCAACCAACATTACCCAAACCCTATGTAAGTTGAAAGGCAAATTTGGCTATTCAACAAAGCTCTAATTAAGCTTTTAGTATATTGAAGCTGGACTAAAGGTGAAAGCTTGTGCAAAAAACCATCCATAAACCATCAAGATGTATCTACAATAGAATAGACCAAGTTTGATTTTAGAATGCAGGACACCCAATAATTTTGAAGTGATTTTGTATTTGTAGTAATGGTAGCACTTCTTTATGGGCTCACTTTACGATGTCGTTCGTATTTGTATACGAAATCACCAAAACATTAAATGACCAAACCATCATTTAGTCTTGCTTGCACATTAGGGTTTTGGAAGGCTAAATATGAGGGTCAATGACGAGTTGGGTCGACCCATTAATCCACCACTTGGGTGTTTCAAGGGACAAGGCTTGAAGAAGGGATGACTCATCATTTGCATGCTCATCGTTTCAATTTTAAAGGATTCTCAATGATTGCTTTTGGATAATCGACAAGGATAAGACTTCTTGTTTCTTAACTCATTCCACACAAATCCAATCAGCCACTTAATTTAATAGGTTATATTTGCTATCCAATACAAACCATTGTTTAGCAAGAAACAATTTAATTTCACGAGGCAACTGTACTTTAATATTTGTTTTTGTAAATATTTACCATTTTACCCATTGACATATCCAATCCAATGCAATCCTTTGTTTGAATTTTTCCCTTAACAAACAAACATCTATAATTTATCACATTATATTTATACATAAAAAAATACACTTTAATCTATTTAATTAACTTACCAACACAATCATACAATATAATAAACATTTATTTTGGTGTTTGCCAAATACAACGCCAATATGAAATTTATAAGTGAAGCATGTCCCCCTCCCCTCTCTCTCCCCCAAAAAAAAAATGCAAAAAAAGTTGAAAAAAAATATATATAAGTGAAGCATGAACACCGATATGAGTCAATCCCATAAAACCTGGTAAAAAATAAATAGCCAAAATTATACATATAAATTGTAATCAATCGTTGTCTTGTACAAAAATACCCCAAAAAACCAATGACAACCTGATTATTATTATTATTCTGCCATAGTAGCAAGTAAAATCAATATTGTCTTATATAATACGTACACAATGAAGGCAACATTAATTAACTTAAATCTACTAAAATTACGATGTTAATAGGCCATACACCGCCACAAACTTAGGGTGATTTTTACTTAAATGACTAGTGGAACTTACCCCATCTTACCTTCAATACACACTAAAATACATTCATTAAGTTCGTACTACCATTTTTCTTACAAGATAACCAAGATGTCAATCGTCCGAGGCCGGCTCTATGCCTAGGCCACTTATTTGGCTGCCTAAGGCCCCCAATTTTTGTAAAATTTTAAGGTCGTCTATTAAGAATTTTAGTTATATGTATATATATTTTAGATAGGCTGGTTTGAGAGGACCCCCAATTTTATTGATAAGTTTGTTAACACTTCAACAACTTAAAAAAAAATTCACTTGTCAGCAGTAGCCGACTGTTAGACTTCTACAATAAAGAAGAATAATCTCTCTCTCTACGAAGGAATTAAGCAAATCTCTCTACATCACTCTATCTCTCTCACACAAATTACGAGATTCACTCACTCATAGACCACAGTTCTGTTTAACGCCACTCCCTTATGCCTCTCTCTCTCTCTCTCTCTCTCTCTCTCTCTCTCTCTGTAAAGTTTTAATTTCAACAAAGAAAGAACACTAAAACTCTTTATTCTATAATCTCTTGTAATTCAACAAATCATCAATTAATTAATAGTTATCAAGATTCAAGGGTCAGAATTTTTTGGGCTCAATCTACTATAATAAACTGGTTTGTCTTAATCTTGAAATTTTTTTGAACCATGATTTATTTTCTGATATTGATGGTTTAAATTTATTTCAAGAATTGACTGTATTAAGAAAAGTCATATAATCTCAAATTAACACTCCGGTTGAAACCATAACTTATATAAAATGATTAGATTCTTTTTCAAATGCATGTATAGCTTTTAGAATATTGTTAACAATACCAGTAACAATTGCTTCGGCGGAGAGAAATTTTTCAAAACTTAAATTAATAAAATCTTGTCTCCGATCGACTATGTCCAAGAAAGATTAAATGGATTAACTATATTATCTGTTGAAAAAGATATATTAACAAAACTTGAATATAAAAATTTAATCAATATTTTTGTATTTCAAAAGGCTAGAAAAATAACTTTAAAATGAATATATTTTAATAATTATTGCCTATTAATAAGGTCCACCTTTATATTCTCACCTAAGACTTCCGGATTTGTTGGACCGCCCCTGCAATCCTCCTCGTCAATAATAATGACATCAATTGTTTGGTTTCTCGAACTTGGTACATCTTGTCTGAAAAGCACATCCAAAAATTGAAAGTTGGGGCAAAATTCCAAACAATAATAATAAGCAACAAAGTCATCATCCAGCATAGTCAAAAAAGAAAAATATAGAACCATACCATATTACCCCATATGCATAATATCAAATTTACCGACATGAAAATATAGGAAAGTTATTATTTGACACCACTTACTCGTAAGAATTCTTTAGCAGCATCAATTGTTACTTCAGCGCCACACTTGTTATGTAAGTCCCACGTAAACATCCCACTATTTATCATCTCATTTCAAGGCCAAAATCATAATTTCAACTCAACCATAAAATTCCCTACCCTATTCAAGCAAGAAATTCAAATAATCAAAATCATAATCCAAGTACATGTACACTTAAACCAAAGATAACAACGTTAAATACACCTGGTAAACCAACTTAACTCACTACTTAGTATTAAAAAAAAGCGATTTTTTGCTAAAATACAACTCATCAATAATTTCATTGTGTTAGTTTAACGATGTACAGTTTCAGCAAATTGGGCTTAATTCGTAAAATACATAGTTGATGGTTTCAATGTACAGTTTTTTTTTTTTTTTTGTTATGAACAAAGTTTTCCTTTTCTTAACATAACCATCAAAGCATTAACCACCACAAAACACTACACAAAGATTACCAGTTTGGTGTAACCCAACAACCACATAACAAGTCTCACCGACACAACAAAAACAACAACATGAAGCTTCTAACTTTCGATTTTCGCATTCATGCCAATGGAACCGAAATGGCTTCCCACAAGCCTTCCACATCAAATAGTACATCACCAGCTCCTTATCCGGGGGATGAAACCTAAACCCAGATGCCCACGACGTCGCCGGTGGAGGCGACGAAGCCATAGCAACCACTTCATGACCCATTACAGCACAGACGATTTTCGAAAAACCCTTTTCAGGGATCAATTTGTTGGGGTTCCAACAGATTGAAGAATGAGGATAAAAGTTAGGTCAGAGGATTAGAAATAAAGCAAGCAAAAGATTGTTGGGGATTGGCTATTTTGGGTTTGGGTGTTGTTTGCCCATCGGTTAAGAAACCTCAAGGAGAGACATAGAGAGCGAGGGAGTGAAGCTGGTTTGGCTCTCTCATCAGTGAGCCAGATCTCTTCATCGTTTGGTCCAGAGAATGAGAAAAATAGAGAGAAAGAGAGACCCAGATGCTTACCTCCCAGCAGCTTCTCGTTCGTTTTCTTCGTAGCCTTGACATAGCTCTCAACCCAGAGCCTTGAAACGAGAGTGAAGAAAGAGAAGAGTGGAAGGTTAGACGAGAAAGGAGAGGGTAAACATGTCATTACCTGTTTATATTCGGTCGGTTGGGATTTACACCCAGGGGGAGGTGGGTTAATTTTAACCCAGGGTTAATGTTTATTGTAACAACCGGGTCAAGTTTAGACCCGGGATTTATATCTACCTCACTATTGTCTTCCCAAACAAAGAATTTGTGGTCCCCGTTATATTGTTAACCGTTCGTTATTAATTTTAACACACCTTATCTCACTAGCCAAACACACCTGATAGGTTTTGCATTGGGTTCACTTTAATAGACATTAGCACCATTGGACTTTATTTATTAAATTGAGAAATACTAATAAAAAACTTGAGTAGTAACTCTATTTTCAGTAATGTTATGAGGATTTTAGAAAGTTATATAATTTGTTAACTTAATGTCGTATCAAGTGATAGAATTTTAATAAAGAAGTCCAATAATTTCAGTCACAATAATTTTATTAGACCTATTAAACTTTGGTAAACCGATTAAATAAATGAGTCTAAAGTAGGTGAGTTCGAGGGAAAAAAAATTACCGTCCAATGCAACATGTGTCTTAATCAAGCAAAGATGGATTGAAATTTTTAATGTTTGAAAGTATAAATTGAGAATCGAAGTATGTTTTAGGGTATAAAATGAGATTAACTCATTTTTTAAGATCCATCCTAAATATTTTATTGTAACCACTCACTAAAAATTTGGATTTTTGTTGTTATTTTGTTTAAGATTTGATGACACCAAAAATCATAACTCAAATTAAATTCACAACAACTCGAACTAACTCTCATCTATTCAATCTACCTAACCAAAGTCATTCAACATGAGCATACAAACCCCCAGGTAACCTAGGGAAAGCAAAGCAACTCGGCCATCTTCGTCGCAGCTCAGCAACTCGGCCATCATCGTAGTAGCTCGGCCATAATCATGATAGTTTGGAACTTACTGTGCGGAGAAGAAACGGAGCTCAACAAGCCAATTTTACCTTGGAGGGCAAGCCACTCTCTCAAAAACGTCACTTCACTGCTTCTAGAAGATCATATATCCTCTGGAAAGGATTTTTTCTAACAACCAAAAATTCTTTAATGATTCCAAAAAATTTAAGGACCACACAATCACAGAAGATGACAAAAGACCTAAGCTTGTGGGCAGGGATGTTAATTTTATTCATCGACAAGAATTCGAACCAACATAAAACTTGAAAATAATACTATTAATTGACATTAGTAATAAATCGATTAAATTAAAGTTTGACACGATTAACAGATACTGTAAATAAAAAATACGTATTTAACGAGTATTGTAGATAGATAATTAAATTTTTATATTTTTTATAATTTTTTAAATAGTATTAAATGAGTTGTTGTGGAGTTAAATAATTTTTTATTGATATAAACTTGACACGTACCAAAAATAACTCGATACAAAAATAACACGACACGAAAATCCTCTCTAATCACTTTCTTCATCTTCAACCAATACAAACTACACATTCGGACCGTCTGCACTCTAAAGGTATGTTTGGTATATGGGTAGGGATATAAATCCCCCTCAAACTCATTTTTGGCAAATACACATGTAGTTTAGGATTTGAAACCCGGTCCGTTTAGGTCTGGTCATGAAACCCAAAGGGGGTGGGTTTCATATGTGAATTAATGAGTTTATCATTCAAATGACATTTATATCCTCATATATCTTATATACCTCAGATATACAAATTGATTAAAGGACACAATAGTCATTTATATATAAATATATTATCATAATAGTTATATATCTCTGCGCATATCAAACATTAGTGTAGACAACATTAAATATTAAATCTCATCTTTGGGTTTGGACAAGTCAATCCAAACCCCTCCCAAAAAATATATCAAACAATCTCTAAGGATGTGTTTAGCAATTCATGGACTGGATTGACTTGGATTTAAATTCCAAATCAGTCCAGTGAAAATCCAATTGCCTGCATTGTAGGGGATAAAAGTAATTTGTGTTCCAATCCCTACTTTGGATAGTAATTTATGATGTGTTTGGATATAAACAAAATATAATTTTTTATTAAACATCTAATAACTTTGATATTAATTGACCATTTTACCCTTGAATCCTATCCAATCCTATCTCATTTTTGGCTTGAGAATTGTTGGTTACCACTTTAATATCGTGAAAAATATAAGAATGCTTATGTATTGTAAAATACATGATATTACACAATGATTTTAGAATACAAGTTTATAAGTCGCTCACAAATTTATTTTATCTACCAAAAATATTAAAAAATTAGAAAAAAACTAGAATATATCTGAAAATACTTCACAACTCAAATTCACATGAACCATAACATTAATTAAACATTGTATTAAACAAAAAAAAGTACAAAAATTTAAGACATCGTGATTCATATTTCGTATCATATACGTCCATATTATTGGTTGCCTTAACCTATCCATACAAAATAAAGGCAACATATTTCAAATTGTTTGTTGAACCCATATGCACACATAAGTTGTACATCCTACACTATCACAAGCATTGTCGAGTAATTACCAAAATGACATGTGACACGTATAAAATATAATACACACACAAGTACATACAAATAAAAATTTTAACTGCGAATCCTACACATAAAAATCGCATACGCAGTCAACCATCGATGACTATAACATCGACGTGCCTTGAAGAATTAACAAGCGCCTTCACAAGACAAGGCAAAGAAGAATCAGTAGATAAATCTGTAGAACCTGCAGTTTGCACATCATGCTTCACCAAATAGTCAGCTACAACATTTGCCTCTCTAAATATGTGACTGATATGATAATCAAGCCTACTTAAAAGCCTTTATGGACAACCCACCTTCCCCAGAACCAAGTGCACCAAGACTTGGGAATTTGAATCTATCAAGACTTTGTAATCCTCCAAACCATATCTCTTGATCAAAGTCAGCCCATCCCTAAGAGCAAAACATTCAGCAGCCATATTAGGACCCAAACCATAAAAGCAGGAAGCTGCCAGAACCACACCTCCTTTATGATTTCTCAAAATTATCCCCCCATCTGAAGGCGCAGGATTGCCCCTTGCTTCCCCATTCACATTTAGTTTTAACCATGTCATTGTTTGATTAAGTGAATGTAAAACATCAAAAAATCATACATCAGCGCTCCACAAAATTAAGAAGAAATTATAATAAAGTGAACACATTACACATGTATAATATATATTACTAGTGATAACCCGTGTCTGAAGGCTCGATAAAATATAAAATTCGAGCGTTCAAAAAATCGATTCTACTATATTAAATTTTTTTGAAATATATTAACTAAAAATTAATTAAATATTAAATAATTAAATATATGATAGAAATAAGTGATATGATATTTTTAAGAAGAAAATATATAAATAATTAAATATGTGATAAAAATGAGTGATGTGATTTGACGTTTGAGTCTGACTAAAGGGATGATGTATGAGATAAGTGATTGGTGATAATTTTAAAGAAAAAAGTATGACTGAGATAAAATTCAAACACACTCTTGTTTTATTATATAGATGTGTCCCAAGTGTACTCAAGAGCACAACAGAAAAAGAATTAAACAATGAAAGCGTTGTTTATAATAAATGTTCACCATTTGCTGCTCACCCATCCACCTAAAAAACCCACATTTGCTAATTTTCCTCTTTTTCCCCTACCATTAACTTGTTGGAAATGGCCTACCCCTCTATGGGTGCCAAATTGATTGGGGAGACACAGAGGAGGAGAGGAAAAAAATTAGTAAATAAATATATTTTTAGTGGTAACAAAATTTTTCCAATGGCCATCACCGAACATGGCCTAGCTGTCGGCATTACAAAGATACAGAGACAGAAGAGAGATATAGATATATATATAGAGAGAGAGAGAGATTGAGAGTCAACGAGAGTAAGAGATCCTCCACCCAATGAGCTCCTCGAGTGAGACACAGAGACGCTGAACCGTTGTAACAAATGGCTAACAAAGGCAACCACAATAAATGAAATAAGGAAGAGAATGGAGGGAGGGAGAGAGAGAGATACCTTTGGGCATCTGAGGGGGGACCAGTGGACGCTATTCACAAGAAGGGGAACCAGTGAAGTGAAATAAAGAGAAAGGGAGATAAAAACCCTAGCTAATTTACTGTATATGGGTGTTTTGGTAATTTCATGACATATCCTTTTGATGGGCTTAGAAACCCCAAAGTTCAGGTGGATTAAAGAAATCCAATTCAGACGGGATATCAAGCCTCAAAACCTACGACCCGATTTTTTAAACCCAACGATTATCCTGTGTAAATTTGGGTTGCCAAATCAAGGATAAGTGGGCCCTCAAGACAATTTTAACCCAATCCCCTTTCTTATCCCATCAAATCCGGTGATCCAAACACCCCTTGAGAGTGTGTTTGCCAAACCTTTGGTTGGTTAAACTGGTTTGGATTCTTAATCCAAACCTATCCAATGTAAATACAATAATTTGGATAAATTGTTGGATAAAATAAAGTAGTTTTATCCAATACTTGATTTAGAAAGTAATTTGTGATATTATGGGGTCCACGGATAAACTATTGTGTTTGGTTAACTCTCATTATTTTCACATTAATTTACCATTTTAACCTTCAATCTTACCCAAACCAATCTCAATCTTGGCTTTGGAATTTTTGTGGTCCACCTTAATATTTCTTTGCAATTTTCAGATGTGTGACAAAGGTCAAAGACCGAAGTTTATTCGGTTCCACTTTTTTCAAATTTGACAAATGTGATCGCAA